TCGGTGGTTAGCACCATTGCCTCGCAGCAAGAAGGTCGCGGGTTCGTGGCCTGGTGAGGACACCCGGGATCTTTCTGCATCGGTTCTCTCTGGGTTCTCCGGCTTCCTCCCACAGTCCAAAAACATGTTGGGGTTAATTCCAGCCCTCCCGTGATCCTAGTGAGGATTAAGCAGTGTATAGATAATGGATGGATGGATGGATGTTAAAATTATTCCATTAACCCTATTCAGGACTTTCATGTTGCCATACGTAGAAGGTCTTTTGGGGTCCATTGGACCCCAAGAAAGAATATGTGCAAAATATTAGTTGGTATTCATCGTGGACTTTTATACTATGTTAAATAAATGTTATGATAAATTGATGTATTTTTGCTTCCAAATGCATGACAAATGTCCCTCTTTTTATATTTAAAAAAAATCTTCAAAAAAACAAAACAAAACAATACCTGTCACCTAAACCAAATGGCCTGGAAGTCCTGAATAGGGTTAAGCAAGTTAGCATGTTAGCATTTAGCTTAAAGTACCACTTTACCCAAGTATAGTCTCATAATTATAGTCTGCTTTAAACGTAAATATTTTGGATGATTGTTGTGTTAAAGTATAATTTGATTTAAAAAAAAAAAAGTATTGCGCATGCTGAAATTTAAAGCTAGCAAGTAGTAAAATGCATAAATTACTCTGAGAACTTCTTGGACGAGTCGTATCAGCTTTACTTTGGACCACTTTCAATTTATCCTTATTCACTGTTATGGTTTTTGAAAAACTGATATTAGCGCAGCTTTGAGCAGCAAAATGCGCAAGTCTTAAAGTCTTAAAATAGTTGCTGCACTCATACATATCATATTTCTGTAGTATGTTCTCAGACAAGGCCAACCATTTACAGTCGGGAATGTGGGAAATTAAGTACATCTCATGGAAATTGGTGACCTTTTCCATGGATGGATGATGGATGTTTGCAGATATATTTGTTCTAATGTGAAGATTACCCATACAGATTTTAAAAAAACAAATCAAATGTATCAGGAGCAGCAGGGCAGCTTTCACTCTTGTGATGGAGCAAGTGGGATTAGGTCCAACTCCTTAAAGGGTGATAAAACAGTTTCACATGCGTTCAGCATTCCACAGTCATTGCATTTCAGCAGACTGTTTCCATTCCCAGGAAAAAGCCAATAAAAGTTAACATAGCCCTAATGCTGGCATTCACCTCACCTCTACAAGACCTGGAGAGCTGCTCTTTCAAATATATTTGATTAAGCAATTGAATGGAGTCCTGTTTGAAAGGGTGACTACAGATAAAGGTTGTACAAATGGCACGTTTAATTGATATTTTGTATTCAATTTCATAATTTATATATAAAAAAACAGATGAGTTACAAGGAAAAGAGTACGCAGACACATTTATTACATCT